CCGGGGGCGTGGTGGGATGGTTAGGCGGAACTTCCTTCCCGATTGTCTGCAAGCGCGCCTCCAGCGAGGCCGTCAATGAAGTTATCTGATCCTCAATTTGACCTTGGATGCGGGCTTCTTGCGTGGCCAGTTGCTCACATATTTGGGTGTGGAAGTTATCGAGCACTTGTTGAAGCTTGGAAAAATCAAAGGGGTTATCTGATGTACCCGGCATGGTGTGGATACAACCGCAATGAAAGCACCAGTGATACAACCTGTGTTGAATCAGGAAGCCCTTGTTTGAGTAAGGGTGTACTCCAGAAAGAAACAAGAAGAAGAGAATAGCAGTTCAGATAAAGTTGCAGTTCATTACTTGGATGACATCTCAATGTAGTTTAAATACTGCTAAATTACATGGAATGCAAGGAAACAGGGCACTACGTTCATAAACTGAAATAGGAATAACTAACAAACACCACTACGTTAATGCATGATAAAATCCTCAAAGTGCGCTGGTTGTTTCTTCGTGCGCTCCGACCTACGTGTGCTGACCAGGTCCTCCCGATTGTCACGCACACTCACTGCCTTTGTCGTATCACTCACTGCCTTTGTCGTATCACTGACTCAAGGATTCAAGAAACCATTAGTTCATTGGTCTCTGTGGATTGAGGAAACGCACCACCAGCATCTTTCTTAAGAAACCCTTCCAATAAGATTCTAAGAGTATGTTTCCGAGTCTGGAGGGAAGAGGAGGGGAAGACTTTGGAAGTATGTTGTTGGAGGCGAAAGGGAGAGGAGGGTGATGTAGCCCTTCTTTGTATTTGGGAGTAATAAATTGGAAGAAAAGTGTTTTTGAATGAATTATAATTAAATCACTTTGAGATATAATGAATTCAAATAATTGAATTGATATTTATTTTTAATTGAACTTAAATTACCATTTGATTAATCATCCTTCAAAACCCTCCAAATTGAGGGAAATCAAAATTTGAGGATTTAGAGGCTCTTGGAGGGTCACAAAAGTCCTCCAAAACTATCCCCTCCAATTTTATAAACTCCCAAGTCCCAAACATGAAAACGAGAGTCAAGAGTCATAAACCTGCATCAACCTTCCCCTCTCCTTCAAAACCCAACTCCCAAGTCCCAAGCATGAAAACGAGAGTCAAGAGTCATAAACCTCCATCAACCTTCCCCTCTCCTTCAAAACCCAACTCCCGAACACACCCTAAGAGAATTTGAGCTATTCTCAACCCCCTCCAAGAGAATTTCAGAATGGCTTTTTTCAACAGCTTCTAGGAGGATTTCATAACATATATCCTCAATTGTTATATTGTATTTCAATTCAACCATATTATGTTGAGGATGAACATTTGCTCAACCCTTAGGCCTCATGTGTGTAAAGAATATTTTTTCTAACTCTCACAACAAAATTGCGGGATTGGTAGGGATTTGACACGACATGACCAATGATTTCGTGTCAAATACCTCGTGCCAAAATATTTTTTTTGCACGAATTTGGCATACCGCTGGCCGCTGTCGAAAATCTCTGTCAATCCCATTTTTTTTGTAATGAATAAGAAATAAAATATACTCGATAGCAATAAATTAGAATGTGCAATATCTTGATCATAAATGTGCACCTTAGTGTTCGTATATACCTATGAAAACCTTCTCGGTGGTTCTTACAGATATATGAATCCTAGTCCATATATCAGCACAATACACAACACTCTATATGTATTTTTTTTAGTATAACCATAAATGGCACCATCATGAAACAGAATGTGCACCGTTATTAGCTGTTTTCATTTTCTACGGGAAGAATTACTCTAATCAAAATCACACCCTGAATATCAGAAGTTTATATTTTTCCAATGACGGGATTAAAGAGATACTATAAAAGTATGGTGAGAACTCTGATACCCTTTTAAAAAATGGGGTACCGTACCTATCATTTTCTTGATTGGTCCAAGTAGGTATATCATTTCTAATTTAGACTTAAATAATTCAACTGCAATATTCTGATTGGTCCATGTGGACAAATGTATGGTTCGTACCTTTTGGATACCATAGAATCTAGCTAAAAAGTATAAGTGTGTCAACCAATTACGCAAGAATTGTTACAATTACTCCTGGAGCACTCTTGAATACATATATAACGCAATATGTTTTTTTTTTGAAAGTAAATACAACGCAATATGTTTAATTTAGTTTGCAAATGTTATGTCTGGTTTAATTTTCATAGAAATCCTTTATGGGCTCTGTTTAGTTTCTCTGCAATATCAACGATCCAACATATTCAACTCATTAATTGATTTATGAATGATATAAAATGCAAAATGTTAGTTAAATAGTCATTGAATATGAATATATAGGCATTTAAATACAATGTCATTTGCAGTTTTATGGATAATAACTCAGAAATTGCCAAAGTCCACAGTGCATATGCCAAAAGTCAAATATTTAAAAAAATTAAAATATGGATAAAATTATATTTTATCCCTGAAATATGTTTAATTGTTTCTATAAAAACTACAGGAGTATAAAATTTCTCAATTGTAATGAGTGCGTCTTATTTTAGAAAGAAATATTTGTGCACTTTATGTATGTTTTATTCTTATTTGAAAATTTTTCTTATTCAAACCTGGGTTACCCTACACTAAGTAATTAATGTACGTTTTCTTTATCGAGTGTTTTAAATCCATAAATGGTCAGGGTATTCTTTATCAAGTGTTTTAAATCCATAAATGGTCAGGGTATTATCTTAACTAATGAAAGTACTATGTGTTATTTGTTCACCTTTACGGCCTTACAAAAATAAACTTATTTGATTTAATTTTATCAAAATTTTGTTTCATACGAAGTAAAAATTAATGGAAGGGGGATGTAATATAAATATCCTAAATATATAATATATGTACAATAAATTAACATCCTAAAATAACCTAAATTTACATATGTAATATATGTACCAATCACCTATGTACCCCGAACTTTATATAAATTTCGGGGGCCTTTCCAGGTGTAATTTTTTGATGACATTTTTTTTAGCATGATCTTCATCAAGTCTAGTTTATCCATATAAAATTTCAGCTAAAAATTCAAATGGGAAGACAATGAAATAAATTCTTTACAACCAATGTGCTTTATATATATAAACTGCGCAATTTTTTCAACAATTTATTTGACTGTCTTCCTGATTAAATTTTAAGCTGAAATTTGGTGGTGTAAAAGATGATTAACGTGTTCAAACAATTTAATCAACCGGGAAAGGTCCCAAATGCCCTCGCACATATCTAACATCGGTATCATCCTTTTTTTTGGATATCGTTCTGTAATTATATTAAGGGCCACATACTCATCATCATATCCATTATTCCATTTAATACTATGTATAATGTATACGTAGTGTTTAATTTGTTTCCATATTTGTTTCAATCTGAAACAGCTGCTCCGATCCGTATATAAATATTGTCTCTAGCTACCCGGCCAATTACAATGTAGATTCATTAATTCACTTGAAGTGATGGATTTGAGAATCACTATAACTATTGTTGTTTTTATTTCTGTTATCATCAATTTTTCTCATGGAAAAAGCAGAAATGATAGTTAGGGTCTGTTTGTAACAGCTTCTGCTTTTAAAAAAGTGTTTTTTTTTAATGAAATGAGGAGAAGTGATTAAATAAAAGTTGATAGTGTTTGAGAAAAAAGTGATTTTGAAAAGTAAAAGTGGGTAGTGTTTGGTAAAATAAGTGCTTTTTGTGTAATAGACAAAGTAAAAGCACTTTTGACGCGGAAGCCGAGAAAAATAAAAGTTGTAGTGTTTGGTAAAATAAGTGCTTTTTAAAGCCAAAAGCTGAGAAGTGCTTTTCTAAAAACAGTTGCAAACCAACCCTTATAGGTTCCAAACACAAAGAGGATATCGAAGGAGTTCAATCATCACTTGAGTCAAGGTAATGTCAAGTCTTGTCAACGAAGTTTAAAAATGTAACACTCATATCTTCTCATTTTCGTAACATTTATGTCTTTATATTTTTAAATCTTCTCATTATACTCTCAATAACTTTTTAAAATAAGGAGTACACTATTATAACCATTTTTTGGATTTATCATTCTTTCCAACACACTATTTCATTATATTCTCATCATACCCTCAATAATTTATATCTCATTTCACTATTCTTAATCTCACCTACTTTTAAACGGGAAGATATATAGAAGTATGTTTATTACAGAGGTAGTATATTTTAAGAAACTTTTTATTTAATCATAATTGTAGTACTTATTTAATTTGTATTATATCCATCTATAAGAATTCAAATTATCCCAGTCTAAGGTTCACCAGAAAGATTTATTTGGAATATAAATATAATAATAAAATCATCATTATTATTATTAATATTATCAAATACGGAGTATCAGTTGGGTGATTTACCAAAAAGCGGGAATACCCCGTATTCAATTCCAAAAAGCGGGGAAAAAATTAGGTTTTACCAAATAACGTAGGTCGGATTACCCAATTCCGACAGGAATTAGGGTTTCGGAAAACCCAGCCTCCCCTCCCTGTCGGATTAGGTGATTCCGACCACATTAATTTTTTTTTTTTTTTTTTAATGCTGTCGGATTACATGATTCCGACCAAAATAATTTTTTTTTTTTTTTTTAATTCTGTCGGATTAGGTGATTCCGACCACCCATTTTTTTAAAAAAAAATTGTTAATTTTTTTATTTGTAGTTATAAAAATGTTAAAGTTTGAAATTGTAGGGTTAAATGAAAACTTTTTGGTATAATTTATTTGAATTTTATCCATTCCAAGTTTAAAAGTTTAGTTATATTAATCACATGTTTTTTTAAAATCTAAACATTTTGTATGTGTAGTATAAAACATTTGATTGCTTTATATTGTTTTGTAATGCATTTGTATTGTGAATTTTTTTTTAATTGCAATTTTTGTAATTTTAAGTGTAATTTTGATTTAATTTATTTGTCAAATTAGGTACAACTATGATGGTGTTTTGAGGGCAATTTTAGTAATTTTAAAGGAAGTGAACAAAAAGAATGTACTTTTCAATGTAATTCATTAATGAATAGAGAGTACATATAACATTAAATATAATACTACAGCTAATGTTGTGTGCTCGGCCCTGCTCCGTCTCCACCGCCACTGTTCCAAGGCACCGTTGGGTCTCCATACAAATATGACGAACTCAGAAATGAGTCAACAAAATCATCGGGTTGCCTAGTGAACTGATAAGATTCATAATACGGCGGTGGTTGATTGAATGTGAGGGATTGATGCGTTGAGAATTGAGGTGGTGGTTGATCAAATGACACACCATGCGATGATGACTCCTCACGACCACCTTCATGTTCATGTGCATCATCCTCTTCGTGACTTCCACCTTCATCTTCATAATGGAACATGCCCCGGTGGATCATGTCTTCATCACCTGCGTCCACGGCCAGTTTCCGTATTCGTTTTTGAATGTCGTCATTACTGGCGTCGTTGATGCTGAGCTGATACAACTCGTAAATGCCTTGTTGCTACATAAAATTTTGTAACATATAAACTTTATGACATGATATATGTTAATGAATATGATTTTTTTTAAAATACTTACCACAATACCCCACTGGTGTGCTGTCGGGGTGTAGCCTGTCGTGGGCACAATGTGAGAAGGGTTCTGCACACGTGTCATACCATACTTCTTGTACCATTTTTTGTACCTATTAGTGGCTTCGACGAACATCTGTTGATCATAACCGAATTCTTATATTTCGGCAATTTTCCGTAAATTAATTTAATTTCGGAAAATCCATCACGGATAACATGATTGAGAACATTTTCATGTATAGTAGTATAATCATCTCCTTCACTAATGAATAGTACAGCTCTAGGAGGTATGGAGTACTCTATTTCATCATCTCTTTGAGATGTAGAACCATTCCAATGCACCATAAGAATAATATTACCCTCACTAGACATTTTTATATATGATATATATTATAAATATAATATGAGAGGAAAGTGGTAAACAAAAAAGGTAATGAATATATTAAAGTGTTAGAGTAAATATGGTATGTGGGGATAGTATGTTAAGAAAGAAATAAGTGGGTATATAATGGTATGTGAAGAAAGGAAGAATGTTTTCGGAGTGTGTGTAAAATTTGAGAAAAAATGAATGTGTTTTATAGAGTTTTTTGGGTAGTAGTTTGGTAAAATACTTGGACCACTATTAAACACGTCACACACCACTGTCGGATTCCCCAATTCCGACGAGGTACTTGGCTGGTATTGAATGGCTTATTAAAGCTTCAATTATTCGAGCCAATTAAAAAATAAAAAAAAAAATTATATAAAAACCTAGTCGGAATTGTGTAATCCGACTAGGGGTATTTCCATTTTTTAAAGTTTTCATACTATTTATTGTGTAATGCGAAGCAATTATAAAATAAAAAAAAAAAAGAAAAAACCTAGTCGGAATTGTGTAATCCGACTAGGGGCATTCCATTTTTTTAAAAAAATTCGCACACCCCTAGTCGGATTACACAATTCCGACTAGGTAATTTATTTTTTATTTTTTTTGTTTTTTAATTGGTTGCAGTTAGACAAATAAAATAATGGAAAAGATTAAAAAATTTCGAAGGCTCCCTGGTCGGAACTGCCTAATCCGACTGGAGGAGGGTTTTTTTTTAAACCTAATATCTAGTCGGAATTGGAAATTCCGACTGTCGTGTTTTGGTAACCTAATGGGAACTCCCGTTTTTAGGAATGTCAGAACAAAAAGTCCCGTTATTTGGTAATTACTTCGTATCAGTTGATGTACTATATTGAATGGCAAACCGATAAGAAAATATTAAAATATGACATCTACATCACACGAATGATCCACTTTTCTTCTATTCCATTCAAAATCCTCCAATCAAACGGAGCTATAACTTTATAAGCCAGTGATATGATCAAACATAATCCTCCAATGCATAGAGTAATAATTTGTCTAACATATAATGATCTGTTAAATGATCATTATAAAAATGAATATTTTTATAGAAATGGCAGGAATTATAAGCGTGTGCTTTGTCTAAACTAAGTTCGGAAATTTGGTGACAGACTATCTTCGGAGATATTTATGATTGCGTAGACATTTATAAACAACCTGGCATGGATCATCCTAAAATGGATCGCGACGAAATTAAGGTATGTACATATGCTGTTATATACTGACGAAGGATAAAGTTTATTTGTAGTATGTATATTATAAACAAATATAGTAATCAAAATTATCATTCAAAATTTATCATCATTGATTAAGAAAAGTCAATTTGACGATCATTTATTATTATGAATAAAATATGTACCACATGATTATTTAATTTCATCAAAGGAAAACGTAAAGCTAAGATTGAAATAACAAATGTCAGTGTTAATTTTGAGTCACATAACAGTACGTGATTGTTTTGAAATTCAAACGACAATTTATATTGTTTACAGATGATTATTGCTAAGGAATTGGAGAAGCAAATTAGTGCTCTCATGGACGAGGATGAAAGATCAAAGCCTAAACATAGTAATAGGTCGAGAGTATCAGAGTAAGTTACAGTTTTAACCCAAGGGACAAATGGTCAAACAAAAAAGGATGTCCAATAGGAAGCGTTCCCATCCGCCGATTGACTAAGAAACAATTACGAAAGGTTCGAGACCTACACCAAATGCAATACCCTCTCATGCAAAAGCTTGAAAATAACTCCTACGACGTCAACACAGCAGCATTTCTTGATGTAAGAAATACTCACTTCTATGGACTATGATATGAAGTGTTTTGTTACTGCACTTTTTCATCTGTTTTTAAATGTAAACACATTTTTTACTGAGACGAGTTTTGAACCTGTAATATTCTTTTTGGGATGTTAGAGTGATGTCATCGAATCACAATATGTTTGACATGTAATCGCTAGTTAAATAATATTTTTCTAAGAAAATTCGGGCATCAATCAGTTTGCAGGTATTATTTCCACGGATGCTCCTTCATGACATTTTACTGGTGCAAAAGCTACAATGACTAGAACCCAAAATTGAGGGGGATCACCAATATAGTTCAGCCTCCATATATGTGGAAAATGGAGATAATCAAATCAGAGTTGGATGGATTGTTAGTTACTCTTCTGTTGCTATTGAATTTTATTATGAATCTATCTATTTTAGTTGTAATATGATACAATTATACAAAACATCTAACTTTTAGGATTGTCATGTGTAATAATGGATTCATTTTAGGTCTACCCAGCATTATATGGTGATTCCAGGACTCGATTATTCAGTCGATGGACAGTAAGCATCATTATATTATTTAACTCTTCAATTATTAATGGCTTTTATTCATATATCTAAATCTTATGAACAAATGTAACCCGACATAGTGATATCGTATTTACAGAGTGATAATTACGGGAAAACGGGGTGCTACATAAATCATTGTCAAGGATTCGTTATTTTGTCTAATTTTATACCATTGGATTGTGCATTTCCTAAAACTTCCGTATCTGAGGGAACACAATTACACAATATGATGTTACGCTTGAAGTTAGCAAGGTATGGTTTTAACAAGTGTTTTATGTAATGTTTATGATCGAATGGAGAATAGTAATGGTAGAGAATTATAGGGAAGATCAACTAGTGCGTTAATGGATTCATGTGTATATTATACTTACTGTGAACATAAAATTTTCATTCAAACAACTCCGTATTTACTGAAAAACAACTCCATATATTAAATTATATACTACGTATAAACTTTTATTACTATTAAGGTTTCTTTTTTGAAGCATTTACTACCAAAGTTAGGGGAAATAATCAAGTGTTAAAGTGATCATTAATTAATATGGTGATCATTAATTGTATTGATCATATTATAATATGGTTATAATATATGTGTACACTTTAAAGGGGTAAAGCTCAAGTGAGAAGAACCCTTTAGGTGAGAGGTGAGAATGAATCTCAACCATTGGATTCGACTAAGTTGCAGTAAAAGACACTTCATGATGCACTGAGATATGCAATCTAGCACGGTGGCATTTCCGTAAATATTTCTTAAAAATCCGTATTACATTTGTCTAGTGCAACATGAAGCTATTTCGGTGCAACGCCATCAAATATTAGTGCAACACGAAACAGTTTTATTGCAACATTGCAAAATTTAAATATTACTGCAACATAAAGCCATTTTTAGTGCAACTTCGTAAATCTAATGGCTGAGATTCATTATCATTTCTCACATTAGATACATTTCTCACTTGAATCAAAATTCACTTTAAAGTGACACTCAAACATATAATGTCAACAAAAGTGCTAATTATGTTAAAGCATTTGTCCCACACCGGAAAACTATAAAACAATTAAACACTATATAAGGCTTTGGGCCACTCCTCCTATTAGGTTGACCTTTTAGGATGAAACCTCGGGTCTTAACATGGTATCAGAACCAATTCCAGTTGTGGTTTGACGGCTTGTTTAACACTCATGATTAAGGGTAGCTTGTTAAGGGTTTGTTTGGCCCGTTTATACACCCCGATATTGTCCAGCCCGATTCGGCCCGATTCGGGCTGAGGGGGCGTGTTAAAGCATTTGTCCCACACCGGAAAGCTATAAAACAATTAAACACTATATAAGGCTTTGGGTTACTCCTCCTATTAGGTTGACCTTTTAGGATGGAACCTCGGGTCTTAACAAATGTCAGCTAAGGCTCTCTAATGATATGAGAGGCCCTATTTTAAATGTCATCCCACTTGAGACCTTTTTTTATTTTACAAAATATAGTATTATAAAAACATACTGTAATAAGTGTGTTTATGAGTTAGTTTCAGTGGTAGAGACAAGAAGGGGTGGAAGGGGCCTCGGCCACCTACCGAAAAAATGTTATGTAAATATATATGTATAAATATTTAGAAGAAACAAAAAATTATAATGAAAGTTCAAGTTTTTGCGCATCGACATTTCTGACCCCGTCACTGGTTAGGTTGTATTCCTTCTGTCCCTAATAACTTTTTCAAGTTTGATCGGCACGAGGAATAATAAAGTAAAAGCTGTGTGGTTGATGAGAGAAAATTAAGTGGAGCCACAAATTCTTTACTTAAAAAAGAAAGTGGTAAAGCTAATGAGATATCCAAAAAAGGAAAGTTGACAAAGTTATAAGGGAGCGAGAATATCATACTTGCGTTGTACTATGTATATCCTTACATTCTATGTTAAATAAGTGGAGATTCAGTTTATATGTTGTTGCATGTAAACTCATCAGAGTTCATCTGGGGAATGGTACCAAGTTTTCAATGGTCAGAATCTTGGGTTTTGGCCGTCCTCCATATTTTCCGCCATGAGAGACAGTGCCACTCAGTTGCGATATGGAGGAGAGTGTTTCAAGCCCGAAGGTCAGAAAGCTAGTGCTGAAATGGGAAGTGGTTTTATAAGGGTTGGGCAATACGACAGAACATTGTACATGTGACAAGTTTCTTATTTTGATGCTGTTTATGGCCAAACCCCTCTCACTAATGCCAGGGTTAAAGGTCAAAATTCTAGATGCTACTATGAAGCAGGCAATGAATATAATTATAAAGATCCGTGGTATGAGTTCAATTTTTTCATTGGAGGGCGTGGTGGTGAAGATGGAAGACGTTGTGTCTATACAAAAGATACTTAATTGATATGATATTTTTCATTGTAACGTTTGCATTGTTTCTTGGTAATAAACTTCTTTATTCCTT